GGAATGTTTCTGTAACTTACAAAACAATGTTAGTTCCACTTAAAATGACTAGTAAAAGCTGCTAAATCAAGAATCTGTTTCCACCTAAATAATTAGTTTATATTACTTAAAAATGTTGATGTAACTAGTTTCAACACATTTTTTGAGTTAAATGAACTTATCTGGTTTTACAGTGAATAGAAATATCTAAAGCTGGCATTTGAAATTGTTTTATTGCCAAATCATTTCCAAATACACAGTTATATGTCTCACCATTAAACCCTCTCAAGAGTACAGAGTTTTGTAAATCAAACAGCAGCAGATGGTTTGGCACTAGTTCCTTCTTGCTTGTTTCATATCCTGCAGGGTTTACCCAACCACAGCAGAGAACCTGTGCTTATGAAAGTAACAAACCCCTGGAGAATCATCGAACTAGAGAAGTGGTTTTGAAAGTAGGGACAAGGGGTTTCATGGATTCTTTGAAGGAGTTCCCAGGAATTTCCAGAAAACTTTGAGGGAGGTATCTGAAGGGATGTTCAACAGAGTGGATTCCAGGGATGTTTTACATCGTTTGTTAAAGCTGGTCCAGGAGAGCTTGAGTAGATTCCAGGATATTTCAGAAAGTTGATTGAAGGGGGTTCCAATGGTACTTAACAGTATTCCAGGGGACCAGAAGCTGCTTGCTGTAGCTCAGAGGCAGAGCGGGTCATCCACTAATCGGAATGGTTGTCGGTTGTTGGTTCGATCCCTGCTCTCCGCCACGTGTCGAAGTATCTTTGGCAGATACTGAAACCGCCAAATTGCTCCCAATGCTGTGCATCGGTGTGTGCATGTGTATGAACGCGTTTCTGTTCGATCATCACTGAGTGAATGTGTGTAAAAGTGCTTTGAGTGGTTGGAGCTAGAAAGTACAGGTTGCAGGGTATAATTAATCATTCTTTTATTAATTTTTAAAATTATGAATTATACATGTCAGATGTTTCTTTGGAAGTGCTATACCAATCCAAGGGGTAGCTATCACACCTCTCCCTGGCGCCACCTATGCTTGCAGTGATTTTTTGCACTCAGCTTGTGTTGCTAGTCAAAATCATGTTAAAGCTATTGTAGGCAGTGAATTTTTGGCATCATTTGGCAAAAATGCCATAATAACCTCAATCAGCATAGTTATTGTGGTCTGAGAGGAAACTAGACTCCTGCACCTCCTCATGGCTCTGTTTTCAGGCCTCAGAAACACTTGCCCGTGGCAGGAGACCTCACAATCATAATCACAGTTGACACTTGGCCCATAGCACAGTTATCTTTCTCCAGAATCCGTTACTGCACCCTAAGAGTTTTCATGTCTGCATTTACACCATGTTCTACGTACGCAAAACATTTCAACTCAAATTGGCTAGACACAGACGGTCTTGACGTGATAAAGTCTTACCAGATCTGCCATCTCTGCAGCTTCTGACCGATAGCTCACTAATTTGTTCATGCGTCTTCCACTTCACATTAACATCAGCAGCACCTCTTCCAGCTACTCAACTTGGATCTGCAAATTTACTTGAAGGCAGAGGAAAATATCAATATGGTTGTCACATTCTTGGATGATTCATCATATTCTGCAAGAAAAGCACACATGGTTCTCAGAAACACACATTGGTCTGTGTGTCAAGGTGACACAGGAGACAAAACACGTCCCTGCAAGACACTTTGGAACAGGGTGTGAAAGAGGCGGAGGGCTAGCAGGGATATATATGTGATCTCAGAGCTGGAGATGTTAGCTTGGAAGCAGCTACTTTTCGAGCATACAATGGATGTCAATTTGCTTCTGATGAAATGCTTCTTTACCATCCATATAGCCTGCCTGCATATTCCACCTGCAGAGTTGGGTATGAGTCTGGGAACAGTATGGCAAAGAGAGGAGTGGACCAGCATCCTTCACCCTCTTCCACCGACTGCAGAAGCTGAGGTACAGACGTCCACCCTGCCTGAAGACAGACAGGGCACAGAGACAGACTTGTTGCATGGAGGTTTTAGAGGATTCACCAGAAGGAAGAAGGTCAAAAGGGGCCATGGGAGGCATTTTGGATGGTTTAACTCAGACACGGTGAGTACTGATGTATACCGATTAGAGACTGTTAATGCAGAGAAGTGACATTACATGCACATTACACAAAACAGACCTGAAAGCAGTGCCTAAATTGGAACAAAAAAGGTGCAGTACCCTAATTCAGCACAACCCTAATGCTAAATACAACATAACCCTAACCCTAATTATTTGCTGTTTTTTAACCTTTTTAATAAGGAGATTTTCAGTGCTGTTTTCTTAGTGTTAAACAGTGTTTACATAGAGACACAGTTACGCAATTGTTTAGGAGTACCTTACCAGCATTGCTGTACGCAAGGTTTTAGAAATACTAGGTTGCAAAAACTAAACTTGCAAAAGTGGGTTTTGGGGCATCAAAACATTAGAGTAGTTATTTTTAGGCAATTATTTCACAACTTTTATTGTATACCCCTCAGAAAAAATGCTGAGGTCCTTATCTTGGTGCCCTCAGCAGTGGGTAAGGCCATGTTAAACAGAGGTGGCGGTACTCAACAAAAAGTAAGGGTACTCATGTGGACAAAAATCCAAAAAAGAAGTACCAGTACTCAGTACTAACTGGTATCTTTCATATCTTTGTTCGAAAACAACTGTGCATAAAGTAAAATCAGTGACACGTCGTTGTTCAAAGCACTTCACTATATCCTTCTTACTGTATATTATTAAGGGTGTATTATTAAGCTTTTTGTCAATCAGTGAAATGTATTATTTCTAAACACTAATGAGCTTTCATATTAAGTTGCTAAGTTTCTCTCTCTAAGACAGTATTATATGATACTGCTGCCACACCAGAAAACGGATCAGTATCTCATTATAACATAACAAGTTTATTTTTATAACTAGATGGTTTTCATGTTATAGATAGAATAGATAGAAATACTTTATTTATTTATCATGTTAGTATGACACAAATGTATCACAATGGAGCAATATAAATAGTGGGGAACACTTTATTTTACAGTCCCCTAATTACCTGGTATTTACCAGAAAACTAGATTGTAATGAAATCTACATATTAGGATAGTACCCATGTGGAAAGGATAGTAAGTAACAGTTATAGTAAGTACAGGAGTAAGGAACAGTAAGGAAACTAGATGGTAAAACATACTTAACCAAAAACCCAAATAAGTTGTTTGTAAATACTTAGAGATTACCCAGTAGGTACATATTACTTGCTAGGAAATACCATAAGTTTAATTTTGCTTTCAGTATACTGGTGAGTTCCAGTTACATACCTTTATATACCATATACTGACAATCCCAAAGTATCCTGTTGTGGCTTGATGATAAGTCATACGGGCTTATGCTTTTTGTGTGGTAAACATATACAGTTTACTAGGACTTTTATAGTATGTTACATTTTATAAATTGAAAAACATCTTATTATAACAATAAATGTTTAACGTTATTATAATGTGATACTGATCTGTTTCTGTCTTTCTGCAGCAATACATTTCCATAATAAATAAAATCATATCAATACCTTTTCTTTAGCATGGCTGTAGTGGAATCCAGGCAAGGAGCTGCAGCTCTCCTTCACACTGCGTAGGATGCTTAGGACTGTACACCTGCAACCTGATCCTGGGAAAGTGCCAGCTGAAGGGCCTGTCAAAACAAAAAGGTACATGTGTCTGTGGCCCCTTGATCATTTTACCAAATATACTGTGATGTGGCTATAAATGAACTTGGGTGTCCTCTAGTTATTTACTTTTACCCACCAATGACCAGTGTTTGTTGTTGCAGCCAAAGGACAGGAAAGTGTGAACATCTTGTTGCTACAGTTTGATGTTTGAATGATGTCTGTGCAGAGTTTGACACTATTAGGATGTTTTCATTTTTGAAGTCAGTTCTGGTCTATATAAATACATAAAAAGTACTGTTCTATAGGACCAAAACAGCAAATTGCTGTAAAGTTATAATAGCCTTTGCAGTTGTCTTTTTTTTTTAATGCCATTGTATTGAAAGTATTTTTCAGGACAGTTAATTCATTTTCATTATGTTTTACAATGTCTTCATGACTTATATTTAAGAGTTAATTATTTTACTAAATATGCATAAAAAAACCCAATATTCTGTATTTTTTCAATAAACATACACAGAGTAGAACGAAATGTACAACTTTATTGGTCTGTGTTTTTACAGTGATAATTACTAAATTAATTATTAAAAAAATATTATTTTGATCTATTTTACTTCAGTAGTTGAAACCCTGAATTATTTTGACAATTTTTATGTTGTGAGTTTGATGCAATACAAATAATAAATGTATATAGTATTGTTAAAAAAACAGTTCATCACATTTTCTGAAACTTTATTTTTTGTCTTTGCAGATAAATTCCTCCAGACGCTGAGGGATTTCTAATCACCACCCTGCACTGCACTGCACTGCATTATATTATTGTTATTAGTATTGACACAATTACTCATAATCAGTTTACCTGCATATTCATGACACATCAGAACAGATACTTTCATGTCACTAATAATAAAATGACTCGATGGATTCACTGGAGGGCATTTGCATTAATCATTTTTTTTCTAATTTTGTAATTTTACCTTACAAATGTCTTACTTAAAAAATACAATACAGGGTTTGTAACTGGTTATGAATTCAATTAAATACTGATGCCTCTAT